GAACCCCCTTCCCCTCCCCCTTTTCTGATGAAGGGTCTAGGCCCGAAACGTCAGCCTCTCTGCTCCTATGATGCTGCTTGGCCTGCTGTGTTCATCCAGCCGTGCACCTTGTTGTCTCGGATTCTCCAGCATCTGCAGTTCCTACTATCTCTGATTAAATTGTAGCGATATTTTTACTGGTCTCTATTGTACCAAATTAGAAATCCTGTAAACTCCCTGGTGAATCCTACAGTGTAATTAAAATTCTCATTTAGTACAGCCCTCCAAATCACAAATATGGATAAACAAACCATGGATTAAATTAAAATTTATTCACACTTCAGTGATTACTTACTTTTTTTAACTACCCAGACGGCTTCAATAATAGTCCCTTAGTCACTAAATTACTGTCTTTTAATAATTTGTCACAGTGCTCATTTCAATTTCTGATTCTATGTCTCATTGAGATTCTAAACAGGTAAATATTTTAATCAGATTTTCATTACAGACATTATACTGCTTACACATTGTGATTTCCACTTAGGTTATGTATTCATCAGGTTAGAGGAGATTGTTGTGCTTAATTAAATCCAGCAGTACATTTGGGCCAGAGGATCTAGTATACTTAGCAACAGCACATCACTGTAACTAAAACTTCAATGCATCCCTATGAGTTCATTTGTCGAAAAAAAAGTACTGGCCTATGTATAATCATTTAGGAACCAACTGTTTTTTGGTTGCAAAAGTAAATAAATCCATTGCAACATACTTAAAACAAAAATCACAATTATGGAAGACCTGTTCTGTCACCAAAGATTCAAAGGGAAGAACATTACCTGTCTCGACTTGATCTCATCTTGACCCTGATCCATATCTCAAGGAGATGTTTATTGAATATCAAGGAAAGACATCCACACTACTAGTGCATAGTGGAGCCAAAGTCTGGAGACCTAAAGGAGCTTTGAAGTATTGTCCTGAGCATTCAAGGTTAAGATGACTAATACTGCTTGGCTGCTCACCTACTTAGAGCTGGACAAAAAAAAAATGACTTTTAGACTGCCACTTTAATAGGGATATTTCATGCAGTTCTTTGAATATAAACTGAAGAGATGGCATAATTGCTTAACTATTCCAAAAGAATCCCACTAGAACTCCGAAAAACTAATAAACATCAGTGCTATGGAGTAAAAAGTCTTAGAATGTGTTTGAGATGGTTTTCAGGAGCAATATGTTGAGGAACTAATAAGGGCATGGACAGTTTTAGATCTATAATTACGAAATGAGAAAGGGTTAATGTATAATGTTGTTGTAACAAAATCTTTAGAGAATAGTAATGATAGTACAGTAGGATTTTCCATTAAATTTGAAAGAGATGTAGGTCAATTTGAAGCCGGTGTCTTAAAAATCGAAACAAGGGCAATTATGAAGATATGAAGTGGAAGGTGGTTGCGATGTATTGGACAAATACATCAAAATATTTTATGGTAAATAGACAATGCTCAAATATAAAAAATAGTTTGGTTTTCAAATAACATACAATACTTTAAGGCAAAAAAAAAGGTGAAGTAAGACTTAACACAGTGTGGAGCTGGAGGAACACAGCAGGCTAGGCAGCATCAGAGGAGCAGGAAAGCTGACGTTTCAGGTTGGGACCTTTCTTCAGAAATCCTCCTGGACACCACCCCAAGGCCTCCTAACCTCTAAAAATGACCTCAGGTGAAGCAAGGGATGTTAAAGATAGTTTAACAACAAAGGAAGAGACTTCAGAAAAGTCTGAAGAAGGATCTCCAAGCTTGAAATGTTCACTCTGCTTTCTGTCTACAAATGCTGCA